AAAACGTCTTTGTTCAACACGAGACAGAAGGAATTACGTTACTCTTTTGTTTTTGTTCCCTTAATGGGTACCCCCATCCCTTTACAGTCTTATGTTTTAATGTCATCTCTGTGAGAGAACTGAAATGTGATTCAGACAAGTTGCAGCTTCATTACAATCCCGGCGATCAGAGAATCCAGGCCAAATATAATATGATATCTTTGCTATTGCTCAAGTTATGAATTCCAATATTATATGTGTCCCTGCCGGTCAATATCAGTCATGAAGGAAATGTCAAAACTGAGTTAATATTATTTTTTAAAAACTATTACCTTTTCCCTACCATTTAAAACGAGAATGAAGTAAATATGACCATATATGACGAAAATACAGAACTGAAAAGGAGAAAATTGCCTCCGAAGTTGAGCAACATGGTACCGTAGCAATGGGGGTCTTAGAATTGAGATAGAGACTTGAAATTTATAGTCGATTATAGTTGTTTTTTCTAAAATTTTAAATGAAACAGAAGACATCAAACTTTCAATTGATCCAAAAAACAAAAATTTCATGGAAAGTAACTGTTTTGCCTTTCGAGCCTCGTAGCTGATAATAGCACACTGCGTCTTACGACTGATATTGATCGGTGGCGCCAGATATGTCCATAACTCACTGCTTCATAAAAAATGTCTCCACTTTTAATTGGTGCCGGAAGATCTTACTGAAAGCCAAATGCAAAGCCTGTACTTTTATGATCTTATCTCTTTTGTTATCCCATTAAGCACATTGGAACTTTAACCGTTTTGGACTTCATTTTCCCCTTTCAGCATTATTTTGTCAATGTCGTCAGATGCTGCATTGATTGAAATATTCAACCTGACGCATACTGTACATCTATCTGTACCAGATGACCCGTAAGAAAGATTATACAGCCAGTATTTGACAAAAGGTCTCATTTATCTATTATGTGAACAAACCATTGTTCTTTGTTGCAGTGGCTGATTCATCCGGCATATCACCACGAAATGACATAAGATATGGTTTCTAGAACATTTTCATCATTGATTCTATCGATAGGCACCATTACCTCGTCAGTAATTCCATTGATACAGCACCATCATTTGTTGTAAACGCTTCATCCTGAAACAGATCATAGTCAGGGTCATTTGGATCATCGTCATTATTCTGAAACATGTCACCTTCTGCGCTATCTGAAGAACCATCATGACTTAAGTGATCTATGTCTCCTTTGCTTTTTCTGTTATCAAGTGTTCTCACAATAATATCATTGATACCGGTACCGTAGTCTGAATTTCTTGATGAACAGAAGCAGTAATTCGAAAAAGCAAAAAAAAAATTTAAAAAATAGCTAAAGATTTTTCTATTTCAGATCCCGATTGAGCTTCAAATTTTGAACCTGACTCAGCTTGTGTCCTCTACGTGCAAATAAATAACGATAAAATATTCTTGAGAGGTCAAAATCACATTTGAAAGTAAAGATTCAGAGAAAGATGCGAACCTGATAAGCTCTACATAGGCCTATAAGGCCGAGACACCGTAATAGAAGGCGTCAACACCATTCTACACGGAACTAGGAATCACACGGGTTAGTTGTCTTCGGAGCCAATTACACTAGAGTCAACTCCTTTGCTTGGAGTTAACCACCTTTCATATCTGGAATTTGGTAACCAAATCGTGTTATTTCTGGCTTATTTGAGAGTCTTTTCATGACCTGTATTGTGAATATCTTACTGGATAGATTTGGTCTCAAGGATCATGATGACACCAATATCTCTTTTTTTTTTCTTCAAAAAATTGCACTCAGCCACCTTTTAATTCAAACCACTTCATTTTGTCTATGGGTGTGTTATGTGTACATTGATACTGTTAGTTTAGTTTAGAGAGGTGGAACACA